GGCATCATTTTTATTCACTAGGTATTTAATGGTTGAGTGATCAGTGTGTACAATGACCTTAGTGCCTATAAGGTATACCCTAAACTTATCAAAAGTGAATACTAAGGCAAATAATTCTTTTTCAGTGCTGTTATAGTTAAGTTGTGCATCATTTAGGGTACTACTAGCATAATAAATAACATGAAAGATTTTACTTTTTCGTTGCCCGAGCATTTCCCCTACTGCGTAGTCACTTACGTCGTACATCAGCTCAAAAGGGGCGTCCCAATAAGGTGGAACATAAATTTTTTTAAAAAATAATTCGTACCGAGGTAAGTTTTTTCTTCAGATTTGTGAACGTGCTGAGACATTTATCATTGAACACGAACGACTGATTTTGCTACAGCAACAGACATAAAGGCTTTGAAATCTTTGAAAAATCTTTGATGAAACTCCTATAGAATCCCACATGCCCTTAATAGTGGTGGGTGGAGGCAGATTCTCAATCACTTCCACATTAAGTTTATCAACTTCGATGTCGTGGCGAGAAATTTTGTGTCCTAACACAATTCCTTCTGTCACCATAAAGTGACATTTCTCCCAGTTTAGCACAAGGTTGGACTCATCACATCGCTTCAGTACTTTAGATAAATTTTCGAGGCATTGGTCAAAGTCACTGCCCTAGACGGAAAAATCATAAATGAATATTTCCAAGAAGTCATCTACCATGTCTGAGAAAATGGCTATCATACACCTCTGAAAAGTTGTTGAGGCATTGTATAATCCGAATGACATCCTTCTAAAGGCATATATGCCATATGGGCTGGTGAAGGTGGTATTCTTCTGATCTTTGGGCGCTATGGCAATATGATTTAACCCATAATATCTGTCGAGAAAACAATAAAATGCCTTGCTCACCAAATGATCAAGCATTTGATCGATGTAAGGGAGGGGGATATAGTCATTCTTCATCGCCTTGTTTAGTTTTCAATAGTCCATACAAATCCTCCACCCCATGACAGTTCTTTTTGTCAAAAGCTCATCATTCTCTTTCTTTACCACAGTCACGCCACCCTTCTTCGGTACACATTGAATCGGGCTGACCCAAGAGCTATCGGATATAGGATAGATCACCCTAGCATCTAGCCATTTGATGATTTCCTTCATCACCACTTTCTTTATTATCGGGTTAAATCTCCTTTGAGGTTCCATAGAATTACCGTGGTAATCATCTAATTGGATTTTATGCATGCATAATGTAGGGTTGATTGCCATCAAGTCTTCCATAGTCCACCCGAGAGCTTTTTTATACTATGACAAACATTCAACAAATTACCCTCTTGCTCGGGGGTTAGACTAGAAAAAATTATAACTGTTAAAGTATCATCACTACCTAGGTAAGCATATTTCAAATGTGATGGCAAAGGTTTAAGCTCCAAGGTAGGTGCATGCTAGAGCGAAGGTTTTGGAGGAATGAATTCATTAAAATCAAAGGGTTTGAATCTCATACCTGGTCTAGCTTGAAATAAGCTAGATTGTTCCACATCCCATGAATAATCCTCGGACTCCGCATTTGCTCTATCTTCAGTATGTCTGTCATTTGCCTCAATCGAAAAAATTTTGCCTAGGCGAATATTTTTGTATGCCTCATTCTGAGAAAATTTGCATGGGCCAAAATTATTGTATCCCTATGGCTGTAAAATATCAATGTGGTAAAATTTTTTACATTCATTCACCTTAAAGATATTATCTTAGCAAAGAGTATCATACTCGTTTAGATGTAAAAAATTGTTTTTAAAAAAAATTTATGTTCCAACTTCTTCCATTGACTTCATGTCTCCAATGCAATGGCATTCTTTTGAATCATCAATATATTTAAAAGTATTGAAGACATTGATTGTAACGTTTTGATCAGCCACCCTCATCGTGAACTCTCCCTTCTCACAATCTATTAGGATGCACCAATTGGCTAAGAAGAGATGCCCAAGAATAATATGTGCATTTTCGTTAGCCTCGCAGTCTATAATAAGGAAGTCTACTGGAAAAAAAATTGTCCACTTTCACTATAACATCTTCAATTTTACCCTCGGGACGAACATGTGATTGGTCAGCTAGTTGCAAAATCACGGTGGTTGGTCGAGTATTACCCATTCCAAGCTTCAAAACTATGGACTTGGACATCATATTTACGATGGATCCTAAGTCAAATAGGGCTCTTCCAAAATGATTTTCACCTATGGAACATGGTATAACAAAGCTGTCAGGATCTCTTTGTTTCGGCAAAAATTTACTTAATGCAGAACAATATTCTTTTGCCATGGAAACATTTTCTAGTCTTTACACCTTTATCTTTTTCGTGACAATATCCTTCAAGAATTTGGCATAGGAATGCATCTGCTCAATGGTTTCGAGCAATGGAACATTGATATACGACTTATCAAGGACATACACAAACTTTTTGAACTGGACCTCGTTGTTATGCTTCTTCAACCGTTGAGGGGAGGGTGGTGGGGGCCTGACTTCATCTGCTACAGGTGGGGGGTGAAAATTTTGCATTGACAATGAATTTTCCACCATCAGTTGGGTGACTTGTTGAACCCTCGTCCTTTTCTTTCTCATTAGGAAAATATTATTGTTTAGCATGTTTAGCTTGACCTTCAGTTCTTCATGTGTCATGCCTTAGCGAGAAATTTCTTGCTTCTTCCCCCCCAAAACATATCATCAAGATTAATCTAGGTGTCACTCCTCAGCGTAAGCGCACTACATTTCTCATTTCCATGAGGCTTAGTGACCTTAGTGTCATTAGGGAGGCTTCCTTGTGGGCGAGAATGTAATGTCGTGGCAATTTGGCCCACTTGGAGTATTTACCTTTCTTAGTCAAATGAAAATCTCTCCTTATCTCTTACGTGGATTATAACCTCGCCATCCTGAATTAGTGTCCTTGTTCAAGCAGATCTAACCTAACACTTTCAAATATAGGTGTCAACTCCTAGAAAATTGACAATCTTTCAAAAGCTCTTACAAAGAGTAGGAATATTTTGTCGTGGCACCAGCAATCTTTCAAAAGCTCTTATAGTAACCGTCGTAACCATTTTTTCGAAAAAAAATAATTAAATATTATTTTAAAAATAGTTATAACTTTAATTTGGAAAATTTGGCGAGTTGGAATTAATTTGGATTAAATTGAAAAAGGAGTCGCCATCGACCTTTGGGCTAGGTATTTCAAATACCTAAAAACGTCTTTTAAAACAATTTTAAGGCAAAATCATTTTTTAAGACAAAAATTGGTCTGCGTTTACCTAAGATTCGTTTTAAAAAGATTCGGGAGTCGGTTATGCGTGGAGAAGGATTAGCACCCCCACAGTGCCCAAAATTGGTATTGTGTCGCTTACACGTTGTCCTAAATGGTGGAAATCATGAATCAAATATAAAGTTAAAATATGAACCCTTTATTAAAGTTAATTAATTTGTTTTGAATCAATTAATTAGAGAAAATTCTTTAACTTGAAAAGAAGTCTTGAGATTAGCAATCCTCCATCGGGAAAGCTATTTCTACTATTTCTTATCCGTAAAAATTATCCCCTCATCGATAAATATGTGAATCGAATATAAAAAAATCGATGTTTACAAACAACAAAATAAATTATTTAACTTAAAAATGAATCGAATATAAAATGTAGAATGATGATCGATAATTTGCATGAAATGAAATAAATTTATTTAGAGACATTCATTGCAATATTTGACTTAAAATGAAATGAATTAATAATTATCAAAATACAATTGATTTATTTCAAGTTCGTATTTGGTTCGAATGTCATATTGAATTACATCACTTCGATCAAGTGGTGCTTTCCACGCCCATTCTACAAATTTCGTTCTTGAAAATAAAAATTGAATATTTCATCCATGGATATAATACAATGGAAATAAATGTAATTAAAAATACAAAATAAAATGGTTACATTAAATGGAACTAAAAAAAATTATTTACATAATACAAATAACCACGTAATATGTAAAATACATTCATACATAAATGACTAAAATAAAAATAAATAACTATTACAAACCAAAATAAAATATCAAAAATAAGCATTTAAGGGACTAAAATATTATTAACAAAAATTTAAAGGATTGAACAGTAAATATAGAAAGTTAAAGGACCAAAATAGCAAAAATAGAAACTTAAAGGACTAAAATAGCTAAAATAGCAAGTTAAAGGACTAAAATAGAAAAAATAGAAACTTAAGGGATTAAACAATAACTACAAATAATCCAGAGCCAAAATCACAAATACTAAATAATACATGTACTAAAAATGAAAATAACCCAAAAATAATATAAAGGACTGAAATGAAATAAACAAGAACACCAAGGAGCAAATAATAATTAATCTTAAATACCAAATAGTGCCTAAAATAAAATATTTAAAAATTCCATGGTCAAATTAGAATATCAGCTAAAATACAAACCACACAAAACCAGTGACTAAAATGAAACTTTTGAAAATATCAAAACCAGAATCAAATATAAACAAAAATGGTATAATACATATGATAGTGACTAAAATGTAAACATGGAAAAATAAAGGTTCAGAACAAAACAACGTAAACTCCATTCCATGGTCCAAATCTTGAGATTACAAAGAACGGGGACCTAATATGCAAATATCCCACATGTAAAATTACAGACCCCCTCCCCCATCAAAACTACGTCGTTTTGGACATGTTATATAAGCCCAAAAACAAAGCCAAAATTGGCTAACCATTTCATTTTGTTCGGTTTCAAACCGAGGGAGGAGAGAGAGAGTTTCAGACTCTATTAACTCCTTCATCGGAGAGAATAGAAGCATCTGTCGCTGGTGGCACCTCACAGCGGTGCAAGGCGGTCGGCATGGCGGCTGGAGGGACCCAAACATCCTCAACCAATTCTCCTCAACCCCCTCCACCCATATCTCAACATATTTAATCCTAAAAGCAACCCATTAACCCTAGATCTAGATATTACCTTTCGAAAAAATGAGGCTTCCAACGACCCTTGGATTTTCAGCACCAAATCGAGGTAAGAACCCCCTATTCTTCTTTGTTTTTTTTCTTTCGTATGGTTCGAATATGGGTGGTTGTTAGGTTCCCCTTCTTTCTCTATTTATTTTTTAAAGCCCTCTATTTTTTTCTGTTCAAAGCTATCTCTTCCCTCAATTTTCTTCTGCTTTTTCTCTCTCTCCAAAACTTGTTCCCCAATCTCGAATATATCTTCTTTCTTTGATTGCATGTCTTCTTATTCCTATTGTCGAGGAGATAGGATAATGATGTCCTATCTCCATTGATTGACATAGTAAGATTGCCTTACGATAGTGCTATTTTATTATAATTATTATTCTCTGATTTCCCCGCCAATTTACTGTTGATTGATATGTTGTCACTGTTCAGTCATATTTATCGACAGCAGAGTCAGAGGCGGTCGGTGAGGGAAAGCCTCGGCTTGAGCGGCGACGGCTGAGCTGGTGTTAGGGTAAAAACTGTAATCTGAGTCCACTTGGACCATTGGATCAAATCTTATCCAACGGTCATGGGGATTGGTGTCTGAAGCATAAGGGTAAAACCCTAATCTGTTGGGTTATCCAATGGACTGGTTCGGGTTTCGGGTCACGGGTCTAGTGATGGGCTTTAGTCGGGTTTCTTGGTAAATGTAATATGGATTGGGCATTTTAGTGGCCTGGTTGGTTGGGTCTGCTGAGTGTTGAGTGGGTTGTATTTAATTGTATTGGGCTTTAATGAGGGCCTGTATAAAAATATGTAAAATGTATTTTAATAATAATAATAATAACAATATTAAAATATGATCCCTGGTTGATAGAGGGTGATTTCAACATTATTTTGAAGCTGGAAGAAAGCTCTAATCCAGTTAACTCCAATATCATTAGTGACATCTCTGATTTCCAGGAATGTGTTGAGGATCTGGATGTTTTTGATCACCAATTCATTGGTCCATTGTTCACTTGGTCCAATAAGCAGCAGTACACCTACCTATCTCGCAAACTGGATCGAGTCCTCATCAATCATTGTTGGATCGAGGCTTTTCCTTCTTCTGAGGTTGAGTTCCAAGCGCCAGGGGACTCACATCATAGTCCAGCCCTAGTCTGGATGCACAGAGATGCGCCTACTGCCATGCCAAAACCCTTTAAGTTCTTCAACTTCTAGGTACTGCACCCAGATTTTTTTACCATTGTTAACGATTCATTGTAACTCCCGGCCTCAGGGAACCCTGCACAAGTCCTTTTCCTTAAACTGAAAATATTGAAGTGCTACCTTAAGTAATTGAATAAAAATCATTTCTCTGATATTACGGGGCAAGTTCAAAAAAAAGATGAGCTAAGGGCTTTTCAACTTGCTAATCTTAACGCTGCTACTGCTGGTAGCCTCATTTCTGATGAGCTGAGGACAGAGGATGAATTAAGGGCCCTTGAGTACATGGAGCTCCTTTTCTACAAACAAAAAGCGAAGGCTGATTGGATCAAAGAGGGGGATCAAAGTACCCGTTTCTTTCATGCTATGGTGGCTAGTAAAAAGTTGAGTAGAACCATTCGGGTCCTTTATGATCATGAAGGAAATAGACTTAGTACATTTGATGCAATGTCAAATGAAGCTATTAATTTCTTTTACAAACAACTAGGGGTGGCTGATCCGGATGTTAACTGCTGTAATGTTAGCATTATCAAAGAACTTCTTGGCTACTCTTTGCCAGAGGGTGCAGCCGAGTCTTTAACCAGAGATGTCTCTGATTCAGAGATCAATGAAGCTATATGGGGGCAAGGGAACAATAAATCCCCTGGCCCTGACGGGTACAATTCTTTCTTCTTCAAAAAAACTTGGCATATTATGGGGAATGATTTGGGGCAGCTATCTAGTATTTCTTTGATACCTCATTCATGCTCCCTTCTTTCAATGCTACTGCTGTTGTACTTGTTCCCAAAATCCCTAATCCGAGTATGGTCAAGGACTTTCGGCCTATTTCTTGCTGCTCGGTTATTTACAAGACTGCCACTAGAATATTAGTGAATCGTTTGTCATCTATATTTCCAAATATAATTTTGATGAATCAATCTACTTTTGTGAAAGGGATAAGCATTATTGATAATACCTTACTAGCGCATGAACTTGTTAGAGGATACGCTAGGAAGAAAATTCCCCCTAGATGTGCCCTCAAAATTGACTTGCAAAAAGCTTTCGACTCCTTAAATTGGGATTTTGTGGGAATTGTTTTGCATGCATTAGGACTTCCTGAAAAGTTTATTGGCTGGGTCTTGGCTTGTATTACTAAACCTAGCTACTCAATAGTGTTCAATGGGAGTCTCGTTGGCTATTTCAAGGGTGCTCGGGGTGTTAGGCAGGGAGAACCCCTATCACCATATATTTTTGTTATGGCCATGAATGTTCTATCATGCCTTCTGAATGTGGCTGCTATGAAAGAAGTTTTTAGATTTCATCCTAAGTGTATAAAGGTTGGGCTCACCCACCTTTGCTTCACGGATGATCTTCTTGTCTTCTGCAAGGGTTCGTTGGACTTTGTTATTGGTGTGCAGGTAGTTTTAGACATGTTCTACTCCATGTCTGGTTTAAAATTAAATGTCAGCAAGTGTGAAATATTTTGCACAGGGATTTCTGATGAGTGTTGTGCTGCTATTAAAGAGGCCACTGGCTTTAAGTTGGGTTCCCTTCTTGTTCGATACTTGGGAGTCCCTCTTGTAACCAGGAAGCTCGCAGTTAAGGATTGCCACAGTCTTATTGACAAGATCAGGGCCAAGTTGAACTTGTGGGCCAACAAGTACCTCAGTTTTGTTGGGAGGGTTTAACTGATTCGTGCTGTCCTTATCAGCATGGCTAGTTTCTGGTACAGACAACTTATTCTTCCATAAGAAGTTATTCATTCTATTGAACAGCTTTGCTCCAGATTTTTCTGGAAGGGATCCGATTTACCTGCTAAAGGTGCTCGGGTTAGCTGGAAGAATATTTGTTTATTGAAGTCTGAGGGTGGGTTAGGTGTTCAAGCTGTCGGTGACTGGAATAAAGCTTGTGCTGTACACCTAATCAAGAAATTACTAGCAAATAAGGGCTCTCTTTGGGTTGCTTGGATGCGAGCCTACGTGATCGGGAATGATGACTTCTGGCAGATGAATATTCCCATGAATGTGAGCTGGGGCTTTAAGTACATTCTGAAAATCAGACCTAGTGTCTCCCATCTATTTGCTAGCCCAGACCGTAACTTAAGCACTAGAAGCATATGGGAAGCTCTACGATCTAGAGCTCCTAAGGTTCCTTGGCAGCATATTGTTTGGTTCCCTGGGCGTATCCCTAAGCATAGTGTCAAAGCGTGGATGACCATTCTTGACAGGATCCCTACTCGGATTAGGCTTTAAAGAATGGGATTAAACATTGAGAACGTTGATTGCTTACTGTGTGGTTTGGAGGCTGAGTGTAAAGACTATTTGTTTTTTGGTTGTACCTTAGCAAAAGGCTTATGGGGAGCTATTCTTGCTCTTTGTGATGTTTATTGGGGGGTCAGTTGCTGGGATGGTGAGTTAGCTTGGGCAATTCGCTACTTCAAGGGAAAGTCTTTCATTGTGGGAGTGCTTCGACTTACTTGGACTAGCCACATCTATGGTATTTGGAAGGAGAGAAACTGCAGACTCTATGGAGGTAGAGCGCGGTTAGTGGATGAGGTTCTACAGGACATCAAAGATGCTTTGCGTGTCCGTATGGAGGGTAAAGCTATCAATAGAACTGATCCTAGAAATGCTATCATCTGTGCTAACTGGGGCATTTCCTAAGCTGATGTTTTTTGTTTTGTTCCTCCACTATGTTTGTTGTTTTACTGTGTCTGCTGATTTATTTCAGCTGATTATTGTACGTTGTTAACTGTAGCAGATTTTCTGCTTTCTTGGGTAATGAAATGGAATTATCCAAAAATAATAATAATAATAAGATAAGATAATATTTTTGTAGATCTGATCCAAAACGGGTATATATAGCTGCCCCTCTTTACACATTCTTGTGTTAAGAAAAATAAGGCAAAGACGAGAAAGAAAACAAGTTTTTATCCTATTCTCTTTTTTTGGTTTAGAAAATGGATATGATTTTTGGTGGGGACGACACGACTCATACGCGATGAAGAGGTCTGGTAGTCAGGTGACACGACTCCTACGTGTTGAGAAGATCTGGTTGATGGATGACACGGCTCATACGCGATGAGGACGACTGGTTATCTAGGGGTGACACGACTCCTACGTGATGAGGAGGTCTGGTCGGGTGATGACACGGTTCCTATGTGATGAGGACGACTGGTTATCAGGGGTGACACGACTCCTACGTGATAAGGATGTCTGGTCGGGGGATGACGCGGTTCCTTCACGATGAGGATGGTAGGCCATCTTTATGGATTATGGTTTCAAGAGAAACCAACTCAAAGATGATGCTTCAAGAGAAGTTGTCTCAAGAGAGACAAAATTCTTTTCCAAGGAAACAACTCAAAGATAGGTGTTTTGTTTCAAGGGAAAGAAACTCAAAGATAGGTGTTTTCAAAAGAAAATGTCTCGAGAGACAAAAATTTGTTTCCAAAGAAACAGACTCAAAATTTTTTTTAAAAGAAACTGTCTCGAGAGACAATTTTTTTTTTTCAAGAGAAACAACTCAAAGGATACTGATAATCTGCTTGTTCCTGCTGTTGGAGGAAATGCCTTCAGAAGATATGATCGTTTGCATCAGGATGTTGAATCCCCAAAGATGCCCTAATAGTCGATGTTGAATCTCCAGAGGTGGCCCAACATTCATCATTTCTTGCTTCAGCACTGATTCTAAGCATGAGCTTTGTGTTTGAGAACCACATGTTAACTACCAAGATCCACTCCAGAGAGATTATCTTGTTTGAAAAGCATTTTTATTCTTCTTTTATTTTCAAGAGTCTGAAAATATCAGTTAAAAGAGTTATGAAAAATGTTTAATCAAAGCTTTTGAAAATATTTCCCCTTTCTAGGTTTTACAATTGAGACAAATCATAAAACAAGAGCTCATTTGATATCAAAGAATTAATTACACTTTTAATCCTTCAATAAATTATAGCTATTTGACATGTGTCAAGATTAATGCTATCATTGAGGTATGGCTAAGTAAGGAAACGATAAAAAAGTCTCAAGTTGTTATTTTTGGTCAATGGTTTGGTATTCTCATTTATTTTTTGTTCACTAATATGATGGAGTAGCTTCTGTTCTTATTTATTGGAAGTGTTCTCCGACTCCCAGCTCTCATGTTCTCATTCATGTTGTGCGATTCCTTATCAAGGGATTTGTGCGATCACCTCTTATGCAATAGTTGCACAGTCTTCATTTTTCACCAGAGTGTACTCTTGCAAACCTCGACCTGAGACAAGTTGTTTCCTTGCCCCATTTTATTTTGTCCCAAATATTGGCTTCACTTGCCCCTACTTCGATCTTAAGCTTCGGAGAGATATTCATTGAATTCCAATATACTTTTGGAGAACTTATCTTGTTTGAAAATGTTTTTCTTCCTTTGGATTTTCAAAATTTTGAAAAATATCAAAAGATTTTTGAAGAAATTGTTTTGTCTCCTTCTCTGTTTCACAATTGAAACAAATCATAAATAGGAGTTCATTGGATATCAAAAGAATCAATTGCTCTTTTAATCTTTGATAGTTGTAAATGTTTGACAAACATCAAGATTGAAAGGTTGGTTTTGAGGTTAGCTACCTAAACTCTAAGGTTTATTTCATCGATTTTGTCATCGTGAAGATCATAGCATGCCCCTCTTTCTTGGTTTGATAATTTGATCGAAGGTGGACAAAAATGTCGTAACTAGCATGGTCAATTGCTAGACTCTTTAGAACACTTTTGTTTCAGTTCTCTGAAATCTTCCATTTGTTCAAGCTTTGTAAACTCCTCTAGTAAAGGTAGTGCATAAATATCGGTCTAAAAATGAGATTTATGAGTGCTTGTGTGAAGTTGACTATAACAGGTGTTCCTCAACTCTTTTAGCTCATATTCACCGAAACTCATTATTTAATAATTAATTGGCCATTGTTTAGCTAGCTGAATTCAACTTTATTGTACATATATTTTATAATTGCATTTATCAGGCTAGTTGAAGGATTCATGTCGTCACAAAGTCTTCAACTTGACAACCACAGTGGAGCATACACCGGATTGCCAAGTACCTGATCAATGTCATGGCTTGAATGTAATCTATTCATAAAGCCAGGGCTTTCGAGTTTCCTCCATAACCAATTGCTTTAGCAGAATAACTCATCTTTATTGTATATATGTATATATATATATTATGGGTATACGGATTTCATTTCTTAAGCTCGTTGAGGAGAACCTGTTATAGCCTAGGTGTTTGTTGAAGGTCAGAAAATCTCATCGTTAGAGTACAATTCCCAAGCAACTGACCTAAACTAGATTCACCAACTTGACCATTCAACATCATTAATATCATTAACACCTAGGAATTGTAATTTCATGTGCTAGTTGCCCCATTTTGTTCGCTCCTAATATATACCTAAATGTCAAAATGATTGACTGTATATGTGAGGAGAGAGCTATCTTGGTTCCTTCAAGGGAAGGGTATGCACTCTGATGAATTTATAGATTAGGATTAAGGGTTCCTTATTTTTTAGGGTTCAATCTTATCATTTTCATAGATTTACAACCTCAAATATTTAAAAGCTTTTAATTAAAATGATATCCAAAGAATTTCAAGATTAAAATTTGTTCATTGTCTATTTCCTAAGAAGGAAGCATTTTATTAAAATGTTCAAAAGTCAAGTGATTTACAAACATTTAAACATAGATAGAAAAACAAGTTCTAACAAGATGACATGCATGAGAATGAAACAAAGCTCCTGATGGATGCCCCAGCCGACTTCTGATCAGAATACCCCCATCACACATTGAACGTCAATGCCTCTGAATCAATCAGATCTTGGACCTTGCGTTTCATTGCCCCGCAGTTCTTAGTGGTCCTGAGCTCCCAATATGATAGATGCATATGGCATTAATATCATGGCCTTCAGGATATGGGGCTTCTCTTGGTTTGGATTAAACTGGAGTCACAAGGTTCTTCTCAACTAGCGTTGGGAGCAATTCCTCATATGTTATTGGAATTGGATTGATGCGAGATGCCCCACATAATTTATTATGGTAGGAAGGTTAGTGTTCAAGTGAACATCCTATATTCAATGTCTTAAGGTTTTATTGGTAGAAAAATGTTGGTTTTGAATCTAAGAAGATGATGTTGTGACTTTATTGGCTCAATGAAAGGCATGTGTATGACTTTTGGGTCTCAGAGAAGATAAAGGTAATATTTCAAAGTCTCAAAGATGAATAATGTCAAAATTTGGTCTTTTGGTAGTAACCATGAATTATTTCGGGTAAAGAATCGAGAGATTTTATTTTTGACTTTAGATGGTATAAGAAAGGTATAATATTGACATATGTAAAAAATCTATAATTCTTGAAGAATTAAGAGAATATGTAATTCATTTGATATTCAAAGAACTACAAGATTAAAACTTATTCAATTATTCAACCTTATAAGGTAACATAAATTCAGTTATCAAAAGATTAAACATATTTAGGCAAATATTAAAGAAAGAACAAAAACGAGTTCAAACAAAACAATCTCCACGGATGCAAATGATAGATGCAATGCCCCCATCCTTATTCAATTGTCCATGCCCCTGAATTCATCAGTTCTGGATCTTGAGATTTAGTGCCTTACAATTCTCAACGGAATGTCTGGAGCTTCCTATATGGTAACTGCACATGGCTTCAACATCATAAACCTTAGGATATGGGGACTCCTTTCTCAGATCATCCTGGAAGGCTCAACCCTACAACCAGCTGAACAAGCTCCCATCGTGCTGATTTCAGCTTCTTGCTTCTATTCTCAAAGTGGTTAGGACCACTTCATCGAATCCTCCAAGGATTAATTTCATGTTTATGTTGAAATGCTTAAAAATGAAATGCAGATGCAAAATGCAAAGATGCAAATGCAAAAGAAAAAATATTGATCCCAACAATGAATCTTGTAGAACAATTTTCACCAGAGATAAAAGCCTTCACATTACAAGAAAGTCCACTTTACAGACATGCCTTCGCTTAGATATTGAGTCTGAAGTGGATTATTGCTTCGTCTCAGATCTTTGTCCTCGAAAATGATGCCCCTAAAGTGTTCTGTAATCTGACTTCGTTAATGCCCCGGTGATGCTGAAGTCAGCATGTCACTCCTTGGTGGTTAGCGATGAAACGATCGCAAATAAGGCTCTACTGTTGGATTACTCATCGGACCAGTGGATCATCATTTCAGTCTCGGATGTTGCATGATCTTTGAGTAAGTCTCATTCTTGGACTCTCTGAACTTCTTTAAGCTCTCAGTGCATGTCTGTATATGCGACTACTTGATTGAAAACTTTCACCTCTTCTTGTGAAAATTTTCTCTCGAATATCCCCTTGCTATCAACATTTTCACATTATGTTATGACGATGCAATGCAATGCAAAAAAATGATGACAAAATGACACAAACAAAAAAGAATAAATAAGTTAGTGTACACAAACAAAAGAAAATAAATTAGTCAGTACAGGTAGGATAATTGATACAAATAAAAATGTTATTCAGAGATGAATATAACACCTACCCCATCATGATATATACCCGAACATGCTTTAATTAAATAACATTCCTACTCAGACATGCTATCTACCCAAAATGATTTTTCAAGAAATTAATCTTAATCACATGGTATATAGTTCGCATAC